GGTGTAGGGAAGGTGTGATACGTAGGGGAAGAACAAAAAGGGAAAAGAAAAAAATGTGAGAGAATGAAAAGATGAAAATAAAGTGTTTGTAGATGGGGAGGGGAGGAGGGGGTGAAGGGAGGGCAGAGGTAAGGGGAAAAAAATGAGAATCAAGACTTGCCATGTAAAGGTACATGATCCCAACAATGAATGTAACTGTACTGTATCCCTAAATGTACCAATAAACTCAAAAAAAAAAATGAAACAGACAAATTTTTAGAATTCAACAAAAATTTTAAAGAGTTAAAAAAATACAGTTATGAAAAGCAAGAAGTAGGAGAGAAGAATGGTCATGTTTATGGACTTCAGAGCAGAGTCTGGCCCCCGCTACAGTGTCAGAGCCCCCTTTACTAGCCGTGTTATCTTAGCCTGTTTCCCCATTCAAAAAAAAAAATGAAACAGACAAATTTTTAGAATTCAACAAAAATTTTAAAAAGTTAAAAAAATACAGTTATGAAAAGCAAGAAGTAGGAGAGAAGAATGGTCATGTTTATGGACTTCAGAGCAGAGTCTGGCCCCCGCTACAGTGTCAGAGCCCCCTTTACTAGCCGTGTTATCTTAGCCTCAGTTTCCCCATCTTTACAATAGGTAAGCAGTAATAAATAATACATTACTTCCCAAGTTTGTGAGAAGAAGCAAGAAAATGTATGTCAAGGGCTTAACAAAAGTGCCTAACACATAATCAGTAGTAAAACTCAGAAGGAGTGACAGCACTGGCAGGGGCCAAGCAAGTGCAGAGGGGAGGCAGGAGACTCCCAGGGGTGCAGCTGACCAAGAGACCCAGCATCTGGCAGATCACAGAGGCCACGAAGGAAAGACATGCCAAGCAGGCTGCACAGACTGACAATGAGGGAGGCCCTGTGCTGCCTTTGATTTTATTGTCTTCCCCACAGAAAATGAGTGCCACATTCTAAAGACTCCATCCACGTAGAGGAGGTTCAGTAAATTTTCATGTGAATGGCAAAACAGAACTTTTCAACCATTATGAGTTGTTTTGGGAGCAATATGAGAGAACTCCTTAAGGCAAAGAAAGTGTCTTTTTTTTTCTCCTATGAACTGTACATCGAGCTGTATGTGCCTTTTAAGCAATGGTATTCTCTGTGTGTCTGTGTGTGTGTGTGTGTGTGTGTGTGTGTGTGTGTGTCTGTCTGTCTGTCTGTATCTCTCTCTTTCTCTTTATCTCTCTCTCTCTCTCTCTCTCTCAATTTAAACTTAAAGATTCATAATTAACCTGCCCCATCACTTAATGTTCAGGAAGAAGCACACATAGGAAATTAAGTAAAGCACATATGCTAAACACAATTTTGTTCCTAACATGCTCCTTCCACTCAAAGAATTAAAGTTAAACATTTTTTTTCTTCAAAAATGGGAAGTGCTTTCTCTTTGAAGTATTCTAAAAAAAAAGGGATACAAGAATATTCCATAGATGTAACCTAAAAGATGATGGCTGGGTTTATAGTTCCTATGTAGCAGAAGAGGACCAGTTTTTATACATCAGCAATTCTGTGTGTACACAGCATAGTGATAAACTTGAATAAGCGTGATGCCAAAAGAAAAGAAAAAGTCACTTAGAAGTTATTTTCTTGTGGGGGGGGGTTGAGACAGGGTCTCACCCTGTAGTTGAAACTGATCTGAAACTTACTATGTAGCCCAGGCTGGTCTCAAACTCACAGTGATCCTCCTGCCTCAGCCTCCCAAGTGCTGGGATTACAGGCGTGAACCACCTCACCCAGCTAGAAGTTCTTACTAGAGGCAAAGGTGTGAGCAGAAGAGCACCCCTTGGATTCCTGTTATCTGGTGAGCAATGCCCTTAAAGAGCTGTCACACACTGGGATCTAAGTGCTCATCAGTTGAGACTTCAGCACATATGGCCATACATGGATTTCCACTCAATCTAGCTTCAGAAAGTCGCCAGAAGAGCAGCATAAGTCAAAAGTGTCAAGAGGTAGAAGCAACCCAGGTATGCAATGGATGGATGAGAAAAATGTGGCATGCACATTCGAAGGAGTATTACAATTCAATATTAAAAAGGAAGGAAATTCTGATACATGCTACAACATAAACGAACACTGAGGAAAATATGCTAAGTAAAATGAGCCAGTTACAAGATGAAAAATAATGAATTTATGATTTCACTTATTAAATATGTAGAGTAGTCAAATTAATAGAAAGTAGAATGGTGATTTCCACAGCTAGGGGTATGGGGCAGGGGACTAGACAGTTACTGTTTAATGGGTACAGAGCATCAGTTCAGCAAGATAAGGAGTTCTGGATGCAGATGGTGTAGTTGTACAGCAGTATGAACGCTTTAATGCTTGTACAATTTTAAATGGCTAAGATGGTATTGTGTTGTGTATTTCAGTACAAATTTTGAAAAAGAACTGCTAGGAGGTAAAGTCAAAGAAGCCCAACTACCACTAATCCACATTTATCTCATCTTCCACAATAGTGTGCTTCCCCTCTTTGTCATAAGGCAAAGGTCTTAAAGCCAACCCGCCAACATTCCTTCGAACAAGCTTTGTAGTCTGCAGCAGTAAGACATGTTTTGTTCCTCTTTTCACTGATCTCTTCCATTGGGAATAAGAACAAAACCCACATCCCAGAGCTGTGAGACTGAGCAGCTGAATATAGGATAACAAACCAAAGGCAGCCACTGCTGTGCACCATGGGAACACCTGCACCCTCTCTTCATGCAGTCCGCTTGCCTTAGTATGGAGTTGCTGGACCTGCTCTTCAAGAACACGGTAAGGAATCCACAGAGAGGTATCACCGGTCATGGAGCAATGTGGTTGGGTTCCCACTGTGTCCCTCTGATACCAGGTAGCCTTGAGCCTCCAGGGCTGCACATGCACTTTCATAATTCACTGTTAACCCTTTCTGACCTTGCATCATTCACTGTTAATTCTGTGGCCTCTGAAATGTGTAAAATGCCCTCTCATTGCCAGCCAGGTATTTGAAAGTACAACCTGCTAAATGAACAGCAGCTGGTAACAGATCCCTTAAAAGCAGATCCACTCTGTTAATCAGAATTTCTTAGTTTGTGACTGCTGCCCCAGTTTAATGCCTCCTAAAGATATTACAAGAAAACAACCTTTTGTTTTGAGACATTTCCAAACAAAATCCACTAGGATGAGTGACTGAATTTTTCATTTAACAAAGGATTGTTGGGGTACTGTATTTTTGTGGGATTTTTAAGGGGGTTGGGTTTTTTTGTTGTTATCTTTTTAAAGACATGGTAACCTTTTATTAGTTGCTTCCTACAGAAATAAAATGTTGCTGTCAATTTAAACACAACTACTTTCTTTAAGTAATTTTGGAAGAACATAGCATCTTTTGAAGAAGACAACTGAGTGCAATGTACAGTAGGTAAAACTCGGTATCTTGAAACACAGCAGTTAAAAAATCTAAGTAAGTTTTATTGTCTTGTTTGTTAAAATAGCACATTAAAAAATATTTTGAAGAGCTGGCAGGATGCTTCTGACAGCTGAGTGGGAGGCTACAGACCATGATGCTGAGCTGTTAGTTCTCCGAGCTAATCTGCTTGGTTTCAAAAAGGGGAAAAGAGTTGAAATGAAGAGAGGAAAGCTACTCATAAGGAAAAATCAGCTCAACACCATGAAAATATTCGATTCCTTTTTTCTTCTACACCTGGCTATTGATAGAAGTAAATAATTCTAGTGCTCACTTCGGCAGCACATATACTAAAATAGAAGTAAATAATTCTTTAACACAGAGAGGAAAAGAGAAGTTTTATTTTGAAAAATGAGAGAGGGGAATGGAAGGGAAGGATCCTTTGATTCCACAGTGCCTTCCTCCTGTCTCCTCGAACCCCAGCACAGCCAAGAAGCTCCAAATGGAAAAGCAGTTTATCGCTGAAATGGAATGCTGACCTCATGCTTTAAAATTTTACAACTGCCATTTTCTGCTTCCAATTATAGAAACTTTATACAAACAAATGAAAGCTGCCATATTTCATCAAGGTAATTAATAGATTAAAATGCATACCGGCCACTTGCTTTAGCATCTGTTCACTTCTGGGTGAGGTGTCATCATAGTGTTCAAACAGCGAGAAGGCAGCTGGCATGTGCTCTAGGGAAGCCGTGCTCGCCATGGCAGAGAGCAACCTATGGGAGCAAATTGCCAGGATTAACAACAGAGGAATATTAAGTCAGAGAATTAAGAACAGAAGAGAAGCAGTAGGCAACTGTCTAAAATGAAGCAGGTCTCAGCAATAGTAGTTTTTACAAGGTAAGGTCCACAACATATCCAGAAAGGATTTAAATTACTTTGGGAGTCCAGAAATAGTTTGTCTAATGTCTAGGCACTCTTTGGCTTCCTACGCAATTGGTAATATTGAAAATTTCATTTCTACATCCTCAGACTTGAAAAAAAAAGTTTAACAAATTATGCAATCTTAATTTTTTTTCTATAAAGTTAGTTCTAAAAAATTACTTTATTTCAATGATTCCAGGGATTTTTTTTTTTTTATTTCCTAAAGGACATACATTTTCAGGACCCATTTGGAGATTCACACACCATAGGAGATCCTTAATGTTCTCACACCTCAATCCCAAACTTCTAATCATTAATCATTCCAAAAACAGCCCTCACCTACAGTGCACCCAGGTATAGGGTTACATCATTGGAAGAGGGCAAAGCCTGCCATCCTTAAAAGACTAAAAAAGCCACAGTTTATAAATTAATAGCTTTTGGAAACTCGAGCCCCTTCTAGGAGGAATGCTAATGGATGCTTTAGCATTTGTTGTTTTTTTATATATATATATTTTTTTAATTGAGTTTATTGGTACATTTTAGGTATACAGCACAGTTACATTCATTATCGGGATCCTGTACCTCTACATGACAGGTCTTCATTCTCATTTTTTTCCCCTTGTCCCTGCCCTCCTTAGCATTTGCATCAAGGTAAAATAAGGCTTTTAAAAAAACAAAGGGGAAAGACAGAGAGAGTCTGCAAAGAATGTGTCTTTAGCACATGCTTTGAGGTGCATGAAAAGCTTTCTTCTGTGTACTGCACAGGCCTGGAACTCTCTTTAGCAACTGAGTCAAGTTACAGGAACTGCCTGGGCTTCATTCCCATGTACCTTGTGACTTCCCAGCAGCAGACCCACTTCAGGCTTTCTAATATGTTGCTGGAGCTTTTTTCCCTTGTACTCAGAGCCTCTTCATTCACTCAGTGTACAAATGTCTCCTTCTCGTAGGTGTGTATGACATACTTACCTCCTCCACCCCTATTCCACTTGGTTTCCTCAAACTCATCACCAACTATTTGATTTCTATTTCTCCACTTTTCCAGAATATAATTTACATCCAGGAAAGAACAGTTTTGTTCACCACTGTATTGTAATGAAATACTTGGCACATGGTGGGCATTTAATAAACACATTTTTGAATAAAGAAGAGGCCAATAGTTTCATTTGGGTAGCGGAGAAGATTATGAAACATTTAAAGAGAGTCTTCTGTGTTTCTTATTGTTGGACACCAAAAAATCCAGCACCGTTTGAAGCTGGGAAGATGGTTCCAGTCAGGATTTCAAAGAAAAGATGACCTGGGTCTTAAAGAACACATGGAGTTTTCTAGGCAGGAAAGAAAGCAAGAGTATCACAGAGGGAAGAATAGCAGGAAAAGAGGCAGAAAGTGAAAGAGCCTGGCCCCCTGTGGGGCCAAACAAAAGCAAGAGGAACAAGAAGCTAAACTCTTTCCCAACTGTGTCTGTTAGACAGTGAGCAATGAAATGGGAAAGTAGCTGTGGCTCAACTGTGAAGAGCCTTTCAGACCTGCCAAGAACTTCCATTTATCTTTTAAAGCCAGGAGAGCTACAGACGTTTCTGCAAGGGGAGTTGAGAAGGAGACCCTGGCAAGTGTCTAAGAAAGCATCAGAGCACAGGAAAGAGAGGCCTTAAGATGGGCTGGGACTAGCCCACAGTGGTCTGGTGAGGAAAGACAGACCAGGCATAAATTAAGGCTTCTGGGTACAGGGAATAGAAACGATAGATTCAGAATTAACAATAAATGGTGAACAACGGGTACACTAAGTCCTCTCAAAACACACCACTAACTAAATGCAGGACTTCGTGTAGCACAAAAGTTCTGGCTGTGAATTCCACAAGTTAAGATGTTTGAGTTTTCCCTTATGTACTGCCTGTTCCACTTTAACATCAGCATACACAAGGACAAGAAGACATCTTTTTATAACTTCAAATGCTTGAAATTCTCTTTTCATTATTATAATACAGAAGAGAGAAATGGAGGGGGAAATGCATCCCCTTAACAGAAGACCATTTTCTAAGCAAATGTGTTTTTCAAGATATGCAAATGTTGAGTCTAAATATGTTTGACAGCACTCCTTAATTTAAGTATTTTTAGTGTCAAGAAAAATCATTTAATATACAAGCACTGCCTTTAGAGATACAAAGAAAAAGTAGAAAGGTAAAATAAACTAGATATTTAGCACTTATAGAAAGGAATGCCAGAAACACTGAGATGTGGAGGTAGATGTGTTTTAAGAGCATGAAAGGGGTGTGTACATGTGTCTGCACATGTGTGTATATCACATGTTAACAGGGCTTTCTTTAATTGCTCATATTTCTTCAACAAACCTTTGAATTCTGTTCTTCTTTCCCAATAGAAAAATAATCATTATCCTAAATATGTTCTCTTTATGTGACATGCAGCTTTAGTAAAGATTAATTCACTATCAATTGGATAAGGAAATAGAAATTAATTAAAACAAGAGAGTGACAAGTTTAAGCACAAAATGAAAGAAGTGCCATTTAGTATTAAATGGTTGTCAATTCATATTAGCAATATTATAATACTTAGCAAAGTAAAAACATTCTAGAGTATTTTTTAGGTAAAATATTCACAAATTTTCAAGTATCCGATTTTCTTACCAGCTATTATCATCCTTGAATGGCTGAAGCACAAATAATCGAATAGACATCTACAATATCCACTGGCACTATAAATCCATATATCTTTGAATAGGAAGAATAATAATATTTAAGACAATATGTAATTTTTCTAAATAAAGGAAATTGTGAGCAAAGCCTCAGTATCAGCTTCAAGACCCTCCTGGAGCAGCTGAGACTCCCTTCTCTGTGAAACTGATTACATGCATGTATCTGGTCCCACACTAGGAATTCCATAGCAGCAGCTTCTGAGGTCCAGGGCCTAGAATTAAACAAATCACAGATGACTCAGGCACAGACAGTGTGAGGAACCACTGGGCCAGAGGATGGATCTCTATGAAGCAAAAGTTCTCAACCCAGGCTGAAATTAGAAGCACTCAGGAAGTTTTAAAAATACCCAGATTATCGAGAGGATCGTGTGGTTTTTGTCCTTGACTTTGTTAATATAATGTATTACATTTATTGATTTACGTATGCAGAAAAAGCATTTGACAAAATTCAACACCCATTCATGATAAAAACCCTGCAAAAAATTGGAATAGACGGTCTATATCTCAACTTAATAAAGGCTATCTATGAAAAACCAACAGCCAACATCATATTAAATGGCCAAAAACTAAAAATGTTCATGTTAAAATCAGGAACAAGACAAGGATGCCCCCTATCACCTCTCCTCTTTGATATAGTTCTGGAAATATTAGCCATAGAAATTAGACAAGAAAAAGAAATTAAAGCAATAAAGATAGGAAGAAGTTAAACTGTCATTATTTGCTGATGATATGATACTCTACATTGAAGACCCAAAAAACTCCACCGAAAGACTTCTTGACTTAATTGACACTTTTAGCAGAGTAGCAGGATACAAGGTGAACACCCAAAAATCAATAGCCTTTTTGTACACAAATAACAGACTCACTGCCAGAGAAATTAGGGAAACAATTCCTTTCACAATAGCACCCCAAAAATGAAGTATCTGGGAATCAATCTAACAAAAGAAGCAAAAGACCTCTACACTGAAAACTACAGCACTCTGAAAAAAGAGACCGAGGAGGATATAAGAAAATGGAAAGTTATCCCCTGCTCCTAGGTAGGAATAATCAACATAGTGAAAATGGCCATACTACCAAAACTGCTATACAGATTCAATGCAATGCCAATTCAAATTCACAGAACTAGAAAGAAGAATCCAAAAATTCATTTGGAACCAGAAGAGACCTAGAATAGCAAAAGCCATCCAGGCAACAGACACATGGCAGCGGGTATAACAATTCCTAATCTAAAACTATACTACAAAGCCATGGTGATAAAAACAGCATGGTACTGGCAAAGAAACAGACCTGAGGATCAGTGGAACAGACTGGAAAACACAAAAACAACTCCAGATGTACTCAGCTACGTCATCTTTGACAAAGGAGCTGACCATCCCCACTGGAGGAAAGATAGCCTCTTTAATAAATGGTGTTGGAAAAACTGGATCTCAACCTGCAAAAGATTAAAA